TTTATCCAGCCAAAAATTCTGACTGGTGATAAGATGTTAAAGGCCTACCGGCCACACCGCCTTGAGCTGGTGCTTTTGGTTGATTAGCTGGTGGTGGTGGCGGCGGCGGTGGCGGTGGTGGTGGTGGCGGCGGTGGCGGTGGCGGGGCGCCACCAGCACCTTGTTTGTCGCCACCGAACACATCATTTCCTAAGCCAGCCATAGTCTAAAAAACACATTTTTTTAAAGACAATAATTTATTTCTGAAATTCAAAACGAAAACCCGGAGAGTGAAACACCAGGCTTGCTGGCGTTACCATGTTTTTCGCTAAAATCTTGAAAATGACGGATTGTGTGGTTGTTGTTCCCAGTTTATCATGTGCACTCTGCTAGTAATGTTTTGCCTTACCTACCATGTAGGGGAGTAGGGCATCAGCCGGGACAATAATGTTGCATAGATCGCGTGAAATCTGAGCCTCAGGCGCCGTAACTTTGCAGTAAATTTTGCATTAAGATGTTGCTAGCAACACACCTTCAAATTTGTTGTATCCATACAGGAAACATTGGCATCTATGAAAGTTGATTTCATGCCTACGGACTTTCAAATGAATAGTAATACGTCCTCACAAGATTTTGGTTTCCTCTTAACGTGGTTGCAGAGCAAATGGGCGCCAAAATTGAGACATTACTTTCATGTGACGCAAGACCTACGCTAGCCTCGAAGCTTCTTTTAAATTTTCAAGTTGCATATAGCTTTACAAGAACATCTCGTATATTTTCGGTTTGTTTGATTCCTTCACTTCCTAGCTTCTCTGGTTGCCGAGTTGTAAGTGGGTGACAAAGTTCACCAATACACACATGCAAATATACATACACTGACAACCTCTTAACAATATGCGTTTCTGCTCGCTGTAGCAGCTCTGTGCTGCTAACGCATGGTGATGAAAAGCCCTTTATATTCACTTCCTGTGATAGATTGTGAGGCAGCAGGAAGCAATTCGGCACCACTAGGGTTGCTTTCTAGTACCACCAAATGCCAATATGTGTCAGTATTACTCTCTTTTGAGTGTTGTTTAGAAACAAGCAGACGATGGATTGACTCCTTGATGTACACCAGTACCAGCTTACCATCGAAATAACAGATTTTGGAGTGCTTGCCAGTTATATTGGCGGAGACGAATCTCTGACTTTCTGGGCGAAAGTAGGGCTATTTACCACTGCGCCGTGTTTGCCGGCTATTTTTAAAAAATGCTGAAAATTTTTAATGTTCGAAACAATAAAACTGCGTTAAATTTTTGCGGTATTTTTATAAACAATCGTGCAACAACAACATGGCTAGAAAACAGCAACGGAGTGGAAATGATCAACACACATCGGGAGCGTTTCGGAAAGCCTAGAGCTTGGCAATTACCAAAGCTCGGCTCGTCGCGGCAGCTGCACCGTTTGCGAATTTACCCACAGACTGTGTAGTAGGAAGCGATAAGAGAGACGGGGGGAGGGGAAGGGGACAGAGAGAGAAGTGGGCACGGACGAAAGGGGAGTTGAAAGGAGAGACGATGGGGTGGGGAACGGGAAGGGGTATTGTGCGAGGGTGGTTACCGCAGGCTCGGAAGCACGAGGGCGGGGCTAGCTGAGTGGGAACATCGGCTGGCCACGTAGGAGAGGGGGTGTAATGGGCGGAAGGAAGCAGGACTCGTGTTGCTGGTTTTGTCGCGAATGAGCGGGGTATGGGATGGACTTGAGAGGAATGCACACTACAGAAGGCATAGAAGGGCGGCTG